CCCGCCCCCCTCCCATTGCCAACATTCAAGCCTGAGTGCCTTTGGGCTGTTGAAAAGAATCTCAGCGCATTCGTGTGTTGTTATGATTAACGAGCGCTTGCGTGTTCCTGTTGATTTTCTTGAATTTAATTCGATAAACGTGTTCAACACTTTAAACCAGGCGGGGTCGTCCCGAAATGCACCTCACGGGCGACAATGGGCCAGTTTGCAGAATGTTTGTACATTACCCGGAATGTTCTCTGTACAGTAACGGCATGTCTTAACTTCTGTAAATGCTGCGTAAGCATCCATGATTTTTGCTTTGTTGGATTTTGGGGTGGAGATTTTATACCGCATTGTTATATGCTTCAAGCATGGCAGCACTAACAGATGAAAAAAAGTTCTAGTTTTTGTAATAAATTGTGATACTTGATTCCAAAAAAAAATAATAAACGTGTCAACCTATTTCTTCCTCCAAGTGGCTGCATGCAGATGACGTGAATGCAGCAACTTTATAAGTGCAGGAAGTTGGAGCCCGACTCAGTAAATATCCGGTTTGCCTTATAGAAGTCAGTCGTTTGGATGAGGAGCTTTGCTGTCGTTGCGTCTGAAGAAACAGAAGACACGATCATTGACATGCCTGAGTTGTTCTCCCAACCGTAAAAAGGCTGATCGACATTACCCGTGAAATTTCGCCACCGAGAATTTCTTAAGAACATCAATAGAAAGCGCTGTCTTCATTCAACTTAATTATGTGACTTAACGTGTACGCGCCTGAGGCCGTGCCCGCGGTGGTGTTACAATAAAGCGTTCGAACGGATTTAAGAAAGACGCTTTTCAACTCCTTGCTGCCATTGAGGTTGCATACGGTCGATGCACATTGCGTCGATCGGGGTGGGCGGACAGACACAGACAGACAGCACGAGCCGCTTTTCAACAAGTCGCTGCCATAGAAGACGCACCTTTCATTCTATACAGTCTCACAGCCTCCGCGTTTTTTTTCATCGGAGGCGACATTTCCTTGTCGTTATGGAGGTCATTTGGTTGCGCCACCGTCGGGTCAAATGTCACGCTAATTGCTTTCCTTTCACTGCTTGGTTGTCTCCCCGTCGACGGGCCCTTTCCCAAGACACCGGACTAACGACAGAACATCCCAGCTACAGGGCCATTACCGACAGCTAGCGTGACTCTTTGGCGGTTGGATTTCAGCACGGATTTCTTCTCTGGACAGCGAAAAGTCACCTCCCGGGACAGGACTACGTCTCTAAATCCTTTCACACCGAGAGATGGATTGTTGTACACACGTAAGTCCAGAGGGATCGCTTCCTGAGCGCTCACTATCGGCTCAGCTGAAACTCGGGCACGTTCCACTTAAATTTTACTGCGCACGTCCTGTTATATGGTTCTTTGACGTGAGGGTGGTGAATATTATGTTTTTAATATTTTTGTTTTTAATATGATATATATTAATATATCATATTAATAATGTAATATAATTAATTATATCATATAATATTATATGATATAATAAAAAACAAAAAATACATATAAAAAATAAATTAAAAAAAACAAATAATAAATTAATAATATAATATAGTATTAATTAAATAGAATATTAATAATTTGTTTTTAATATTATATCGTATAATATTATAATATTGTATTATATAATATTATCTTCTCTTGGCTTCGAACCCAGGCGAATAATCACCGTGTCAATATTAGATCAACACTGGTGAATGAGATTTGAACAGAACCAAAACACTCATTTTTGGTGCACCCTAAGTAGCCTTTTCCAACCCTCCCCCACCCCCTCCCAAATATTCATATTTTTTTTCCTCCCACAGCCAGGGGTAAACAGACCATAATCAAAAGTCACAGTAGGGCAGAAGCAAATATCACCAAACTGGAAGAATGCTTACTGTGCTCTTTATCGGGGTGGAAACACGTGAAATGTGTCGCCGAGTGGCTGATGAAAAATTCATGAGAAGGGAGAAGGAAAACAAACATGAGCTGGATGTGGGCTTCACTGGAATCTAACCGTCCCACCGAGGGTGAGAAAGATCTTTCAACTGCATGATATCACACCGTTGATATAGACGTGGCGGTTATAAGATTTTATCCAAGGAAATGCATCTTTTGTCGAGTCTTTGGGGTCTACTCGACATTGGCTTTCTTGGAATATTACGGCTGTAGTTTCAGAACATGTTTATTTCTTGTTTATAGGTCTCGCGTTGATCGAGCCCTGCTATGGACCATGGAACCTCTCTGAATACATTATTGTCTTTGCTTTTCATTATTTTTTCCTGCTCAGTTTTGGTCTGGTTCACCTTTCCCAGTGTTTATCTTAAAGCTCTGTCAACAAATTTGCATGTGGCACAAACGAGCAACCGTATCTTTTATTTTATTATATAATATATATATCTATATATATCTCTCTCTCTCTCTCTCTCTCTCTCTCTCTCTCTCTCTATATATATATAGAGATATATATATATATATATATATATATATCGATATAGATATATAAAAATAATATGCTTAGATTTATATTGTATATTTTATATGGAATTTCTCCATTGTGAGACAAATAAAGGTTTTCTTATCTTATCTTCTCTTATCTGTTTTGAATGTGTTTTAAAGCGGTGGGTGAAATCCGGGTCAGTGTGTGTTTGGAAGACAGGCTGGAAGGACTTGGCGCGCACTGGTGAAAGAAAATACACACGAGGGACAAATTCAAAGTTTTCCTTATTCTCCGAGCTCCTTAAACTGGATTGCTCAACCCCCCATGCGACGGAATGCATCACGAATTCCCTCTTGACGAGGGACTTTCCTTAAATCGGTTCGCCATTTGAGCCTCAGTCCACAAATATGCAAAAACGCTCGACCTCAAAAGAAACTGGAACAAATCACTCGTGGTGCGATGCATCAGTCGGCCAACTGAAATTAATATTTGAAAAGTCTGGTGGCAATAAACAGGCCGCCGATTGTTTTTGTTTATGGGATGCACAAATTATGGATTTATCAGCGTGCACTTGGGATTCATACAGTAACAGATACATCCGAGGTACTGGAGAGTCAACTTCTCTGAAAGTATACACACATAGACTAGTTTGTAAGTATCCTTCTGTTCCAAAAAGAAACTGCCACAATAGGTCGTCGGAATAACTAGATAATGACTCAAGTAAGTGAAGGGTACATAAGAAAAATTCAAAAATCTGGCTCTCGTTTTTGTGGTTTGACAGTGTTATTTTCAATAACAAAACTGCTGAGAATGACCTCGACTCAATATTTTTTCAACTCCCGCATTTTCCGCACTATAAGGAGCATCTAATAGCATTCAATTTTCGCACCTTATATATGAAAACAGTTTTAAAAGAGGCCATCCGTTGAAAGTGCGCCTTATACTCCGAAGCGCCTTATAGTGCGGAAAATACGGTCATGAAACATTTTGCCAGTGTCGATGAGAGTTGCGCACCTGTCGACAGGCAGTTTGGCCTACTCCTTGTAAGCAAATCTTACATTCTCCTGCTCGCTTGTTTCAGCGCCGATTGAAGGCCACTTCAGAATAATGACATGATTTATTCGAAGCCAATCTTTGGTGTTTTTAGCTGTGTTTACTTACCCAGAATGACATCCGTCGGACACCAACATTTCTGAAACGAAAGAGCACATTTTCACTCCAGAATGGCTTGACAGTTTTGCCATTTCTTTGTACCCTGCACATCTTCAAGACACCCTGTGCCGTTCATTTTTCAACTACAATTTGTACTGTTTGCGTACGTTTTAAATAAATACATACATACATAAATACACAACAAATAACCTGACGATTAAAAGATAACGGAAGTATTTTATACTCCCTTGTAACGCAAATAGAAAAGACAGACAAAAATGAAAGTGTGCCATGTTAGTTATCAGTTTCCATTTCAGAAAACTTGACCCTGGTCACTGCGTCTCATGCCAAAAAGCTCATGATGAGCCCTCACAGTTTCACAGCAAATGATTAAAGATTAACAGCTCCGTTTCCTTACAAGAGAGAAAAGCAGGCCCACATCCAGCATCCTGGGACATGCTTTGCCTCGGAGCAGACAGATCTTCCCACTAATTAGCGCCAAGTCCACTTTTAAGAAAATGGCGACCATCTCCCGAGCTTTTTGTCCCCAGCTAAACTCAAGATATTACTCTCCCAAAATAAAAGAATTTTGGAGGGGGGTCACAGTTGGACTCCATTCTTTTACTTGTGTGCTGTCGGTGGTTTTCCACTCACTTCACCACTGCTCCACTCTTCCGGCAATCCACGCCCACCTCATTCATCCCTCTGCTCACCTGGGCAAACCTGCGCTGGAGAACGGCTATTTAAGCCGCTCCTGTTCGCTCACTCTTTTCCTGATTTTTTTAAAAAAAATTTTAATGATGAGCTACAGGCTGAGTGGCCATTATGTTTTATAAACAGTTGACTCAATAAAGTGTCCCTCTACACTGACACAACGCCATGTAAGGACAGGATGCCACGATGGTGGCGAGCGCCTCTCGTTGGGGCGTGGAAAACCCCACGACAACTCAATGGATTGCATTTCAATCAGTTTGATGGTTCATTTTATATTTTTTGCTTCTTCCATCCAGATTTTTTATCAACAGGCATCTCGCAACAGAAGCTGGCACAACGGGCGTATTTCTCATGAAGACGCCACAGTCTTCGCAACCTCTGGGAGTGATGCCAAAGAACTGGTTTTCGTAATCAGGTCAGTCGCAGACAGCCGTCACAGAC